ATATTGCTTTAATTTTATAAAAATGGGACTACTATATACCATACAGCTCTCATAATCTACATAGCTGTATGATTTAAAACTTCATAAAGCTTGAGTTTAATAGACAACCATAAAATAAAAGTTAAGTTCTAATTAGTGCCTCTTGAAAAGATATTATCAAAGTGTATGTATTAATTTAATACTAAATATTGCCAAGTAAGCTTATTTTCTTAGGTCTTTAAAGTAGATAATGGCTTAGCATAACTTAAATTTTAACAAAAATATTTTTAATGCTTTCATTTTATGTTTAAAATTCTTGTCATTATGAACACGTGTGATCCCATCGATATGCGCAACTAATTCACAATAATTTAAGCTGTCCCCACATGTCGTTTAGCTGATTCATTTTAAATTGTATTGTTTGCCATTCAACAAAAAGTGCAAAAATATGCTGCGTATTTGCATTTGTTAATTGGCCTTATTTGCTTTCAAACATGACCAATGGCGGTTTATTTTTGTCTCCCTTTTCGAAAGGCATGTGACAAGGCAAATGTATTTTTGGACTTCATACTCCACACTCCACACTCCACAATTGGAGTCCCCCATTGAGCTCCTTTCTGTTGGATACTTAGCGTCTGGGCGCGGCGCTTGTGTCGCTGGATGGATGACAAGTGCCCAAATGTCGCCCGAACAATGGAGCAAAGGAGCAATGAGGAATGAGGCTCTGGAAAAAAGTTATGACACACCTACAGCATTTAATCTGACGTCCTTGTAGTGGCTCTTCTCGACGGCCAGTGAGTGATAACCATCAATCAAGCTACTGCCGGTTAGACCGTTAGACGGTTAGATGGTAGGCGTTGCTCTGGCTTTTCCCGGCAGTCCGAATCCGGAGCCCTGCCGGAGTTCATTTCAATCATTAGCGTGCCAAGTCAGCCAGCTCCTGTTGATGCTGTCAAATTAATAAAGAGCCCGGGCTGACCAAGGGTTGGAGTTGGCCAACAGCGGGGAAAACAGGCAGAAACCGAAACCGAAACAGGCAACAGACACCCAGCAGTTCTATGTCCACACGCCGAGAAAATAGCTCCACATTTGCTCATCAATAAATCATTTTGTTTTCTTAGCCACGATACCTTAATGTTTAATTTATAAGATACAATTACACTTATGAGTATTTACTAGCCTTAATAATACGGTAAACAAAACGAAACGTAGATTAAATTAATATTACAATTTTAAGAGTTTTTATCACGCAATTTTTTCAATTAAATATTTAAATTGCCATGTTCTGGTTATCGTTCCTTTGCTTTTCCAAAAATTATCTACTAAAAATATATATATATTTTTATTAAAAAGAGACTGATCAAATCATATTAAATTATTAAGAATTGCTACAGTGACTAGGGTTTTAAAATAAATTGCATGAGTGCCTTTAAGTATGACATGGAAAATAGGAAGTCGATTTTCACGATGAATCCGTCAGTATAAAGAATTTACTGTAAATTGCAAGCTTTTGGGCACTTTATTTTAAAATCAAACATTATATAAATTGTTATGCACTTCCCTTAAAGCATTCAAAATAATACTTTTAATGGTTTTTAATGGTTTTTCGGCAGCCCTCTTTTAGTTTTCTCAAAGGTTTTAGCTTGTATGCAAATTGTACTTCTCTGATTTCTCGCAGTGCTTTTCGGCCACTGCCACACGCTTTAAGTCACTGGCGCTCATAATGCCCATAAAAAATTTGTCATCATTAGCCGGAGCGAATGACGCTGACGTACTGGTCCGCCCATCTATCAATGTGTGGGGGTGTGTGTTTCTGTGCGCCAGGAGCAAGGACACTTTAAGAGATTGACCGACCGGGGTCCTTTTGCTGCACATTAGTCGGCGGCTTAAAGCGTTCGATTGATTGATTATGCATCGGGGGCAGTGGCACACTGGGCAAAGGTCGCCACTCGCTTTAAGGCTTTAAGCCGCCCATTAGGGTTATTAAATCGTTATTCTTTGTGTGCTCGTCTGCCTGTGTGCTCGTATGTGAGCTATTAGAAACGATAATGGATTGCGAATATTAATTTCTTTGCATGACGAAAGGAATCAACAAAGAACAATGCGTTTAATCTTTATAGACACGCAGCCGCAGGAGAGGGACGGACAATGCCTTGTGCCAATAATGATAACCGGAAGCCATTAAAGGAAGTTTCAATACAAGAAACACTCTCCCACGCACACACTCGCACGCTCACACGCTCGCACGTTCGCACACAAACGCATGAATGCCTCCATAGGCAGCTTAAGGCTCTGCGCTTTCCTTTGTGTGTATGTGCACTGCGCGAAAAACAGTCGTCTAAGATAAGGAATGCCATGTTTTAGTTGCACAAACTTAATTTATAGTTCATAAAGATTTTCGGTATGGGGAGTTTTTAGAAGAAGAGTTATACTTTCAAATTTCCAATAATTTTTTTGTAAACATTTCTATGGAAAATAAAATTAATAGTCAAAGTCTTTCGGTAATAACTTTATTAAGAAAATATAAAATAATTGTCGAAATTGTGTATGTATTTAAAAGTGCATATGCCTGTAATTTAAGATCAAAAATGTATAGAAGTCGAACAGTTCTTAAAACCGCTGACGTGGGTAAAAATTTCGTTTAATATTGTCACGTAAATGGCTTCAAAATATTTAGGAAATGGTGCTTACCTCTCACAACTCTTTTAATTATTATGCTCCTACTAACGTAGCCACCGAAATGTAATGTAAATCCTTATAAGAACTTTTAACACTTAACTTGTTCAATTACCTCTACTATTGTTCAAATGTATTTGTAAGAAATCATTTCCTTTTGGGTACTTGTTTACTTACTTAAATACATTTATTATTATTATTTTTTATAAGACAGGCAATGAATTTTAAATTTCTAATTCAGGAATGTTCCTTAACTTAATCTTGGCATATCTTAATACCTTGCCATTCGTTCAGTGTACGTTCCTGTGCCTGTTGTTTGCCTTCCATTTCCATTGCATCGTCGGCGGCAGCGGCGATATTGTAATTTTTATTCCTCTTTGTGCCATTCAGGCGGCAAGCAGCAAAGGGGAAATCTGCGAAAGGAAGCCGTCCTGCCAGTCGAGCGTTCAATTCCCTTTCAATAAGGAAGTGGGAGTGAGTGTAGGAGTGGGTGTGCGAAAGCGAGTGCGAGTGTGTGTTACCGCACACGCACCTTGCAATCTTGCTAATGTTTTTCTAGAGAGCGCGTCTTAAGACCCGTGTGCAGTCTGCAGTCTGCAGTTTGCTCGGCAAACAGCCGGTGGGGCGATGCGGAAGTCAGGTTGGAAATCCGACCCTGGCTTGGGTCATACCACCAGGCCTGGGTATTATATGCAGTCCGTGGTCGTCAGGCAGACAAGCTGAGGCGCCAAGATTTGGAGAATTCCGGGGGAGAAGGGGGCGACGTTACCATCAATGGCACACACTCGCATTTTCAATTGATTAAACATCAAACGCATGGGCATGTAACGCCGTGTGTGTGTGTGTGTGTGTACATATAGCCTGCATTTTTTACGTGCCGCAGCGCAAAAATGCCAGGGAATATTATCCGAGAGCATTATGTTGATGCCGATATATACTCGCACAATATGAAATTCCATTGCATTTTATAGGCAGGCAGGCAGCCAAGGAGAAGACAAAAAGATGTACAAAAAACCAGAAGGAAAACGTAAGAACCGAACGACACAAAGTCCCGAATCTGCGATATCCTTTTGCAAAAAGATAAATATGTGTAAGCACTCATAATTTACAGAAAATGTGTCTTTGCTTAGTATGGAATTTTTGACTTTTTAGAGACTATACAATTTAGAGACTGCCTTCTTTCTGTTACATATCTAATGCCAGCCAAGCATACCCACTGAATGGGTATAGAAATCAAACACACACAGGCCACGAACACAATGGGAGGCAGTAAAAACCTGCGGCAGGCCATTGTGAAGCATAAACAAAAGATGCAGCAGATGGAAGGCGGAGCTGCTGGATCGGCCAGAATAACAAAATACCGCAGACAAAAACCGAAAGCTGTTCGAGCGTGCAAAAGGTGAGGTTCCATCCCATACACCAATCCCTTTTCCCCATTCCATAGACCAAGTACAAGTGAGTAGTTTTAGTTGGGGATTGGCCTTTAGAAATGTGGCAAAGCAAAATTTATAGCTTGGAAATTAATAACAAAAAGCACACAATGAACTAGTGCATACATATACATATACCCGCCAGGCCATCCAAAGGGGCCTGACTAATAACGTGCCGCACTCTGAAGTGTATTAGACAACAGTGCGTATGATGAATGCCATCGAAGGACTTTCGAAACAAAGGCGTATAATTGTAGGCGAAGGTGGCCCCATCACTGATAAAGGGAGCAGCAAAGGGCAAGGGAACTCATTGTATTGTGTTAATCCTGCGGTTGCCCAGCCCAAGGCGCTGAAGTCTCAGGCAAAATACTTTTGAAATTCCCCCATTGTGCAATAAGTACAAGTATGCAAACAATGTGAATTACTTGATGGAGCCACAAGACTATCAAGACTTTAAAAATGATTAAGCTTCTTATTGAATTACGAATTTCCGTTTGCAGATTAGGTTATGTGTGAATGTTTGTTATTTTTTACGCTGAATTCGGCAGTCTTTTTTTAATTTATTAAAAATTTGCGGCAGTGCAAAAATAAATTGAACATTATTAAGTCAGTACATATTTTTTTTGGCAATCAACAGTTTTTTAGTTTAAAATATATCCATGAACATATATATTTTTAAATTAAAAAACTGTTGATTGCCAAATGCAATTTTGACATCAACAGACTATACACATTAAAACATTCTGGAAACATTACTAAAATTGTAGCTTCAACTGTAGACTGTATACTAAATTACACAATTATTTGCTAATTATAATAATTGCAGTAAAATTTGCTAATTTCCCTGCCATATGCGAAAACAAACATTTTCCTATAAATGGTTAGGAATTGGACGTCCAAAACAGTTACATCACGATGAACAGTCCGGCCAGTCGCTTTCGCGAGTTATCCAAGAACATCAATAGTTTGACCAATCTTCTAGGCGTGGATGTGCTGGCGCCCAAATTGGATTTCAACTATCGCACTTGGACCACCATCTTTGCGATTGTTAACTATGCGGGGTTCACTGTATTCTCGATACTAAACAATGGTGGCGACTGGGTAGTGGGCCTGAAGGCCAGCCTAATGGGCGGTGGCCTATTTCATGGCCTAGGAAAATTTCTGACCTGCCTGCTAAAACACCAGGATATGAGGCGTCTCATCCTTTACTCACGAAGCCTTTACGAAGAGTACGAGAATCGGGGACAGTCCTACCACAAAACCCTAAACTCGAACATAGATCGCTTGCTCGGCATCATGAGGATTATTCGCAACGGATACGTAATCGCGTTTTGCATGATGGGAATCCTGCCGCTGGCTATGCTACTCTACGATGGAACGCGGGTCACTGCAATGCAGTATTTGATTCCAGGTCTGCCGCTGGAGAACGACTTTTGCTACATTTTGACATACATGATTCAGTTGGTAAGTACTGCTCACTTACACATACTGCCACTTTTCTTCAACTAAAGGTGCTATAATTATAATTGTCGATTTCAGGTGACAATGGTTGTGCAAGGCGTAGGATTCTACGCAGGCGATTTGTTTGTCTTTCTCGGTTTGACTCAGATCCTTACGCTTGGCGATGTGCTTCAGTTGAAAATAAATGAGCTTAATGATGCCTTGGAACACAAAGCAGAAAACAGAGCTTTGGTGGCAATCGGTGGGCAGATACAAGGAGAGGAAATGCGCCAACATCTACTCTTGGAAGTGATCAAATGGCATCAACTATTCACGGAGTATAAAATTATTAAATACATCCCTTCTTGAATTAACCTTTCTTATTGACTGTAAAACAAACAAAAGTTCATTATGTCTTCATATATTTGATAAACATTTTAAAAACAAGAAAGGAAGCATACTTCGGCAAGTCGAAGCTTATACAATCCTGCAGGTTTTGCATCTAACTGTCTGTTCATGCTGACCAAGAATTTATATACTTTATAAGTTTCAAACTGTTGACTGAAAATATAGTTCCCTCTGCAAGGGTATAAAACAGAAATAACTAAATAAATTAAATCATTTTAGTGAATTTAATTTAATTACGAGATCTGAAAGTAACTCTCTTCAATTTTATTATAAAACATATTTAGGTTATTTTTTTCTTAAATAATTTTTTTTACTGCCATCTTAATTTTTTTGACAATCATTTGTTTATTATTTTGGGTTCATAAAAATAATAGATTTAATAGCAAAACAAAAGGTAAAATCTTAAAAGTATATGTCAAAGGTATTTTATATTGACACTTGCTTAATCTTTATAATGAAATTATTACTAATTAATTTTGACTTTCAGCTACTGTCGTACTGTGAACGCCCTTTACTATGAATTGATCGCCACTCAGGTTCTGTCCATGGCTTTAGCCATGATGCTTAGCTTCTGCATTAATTTGACTAGTTTCCATATGCCATCGGCCATTTTCTTCGTGGTTTCCGCCTACAGCATGTCCATCTATTGCATTCTGGGCACCATTCTTGAGTTTGGAGTAAGTTTATTCGAATGCTTGATATATTCACGAACTTATGCTTTCGGGACAGTATGACCAGGTGTACGAGAGCATCTGCAATGTGACCTGGTACGAGTTGAATGGCGGGCAGCGAAAGCTTTTTGGAGTGATGTTGAGAGAAGCCCAGTATCCGCACACTATTCAGATACTTGGAGTTATGTCGCTTTCCGTAAGAACGGCCTTGCAGGTGAGTAAAAAACTGGTTGTATAGCCATACATTTTATTATAACGCGTTAAGTTTTGCAGATAGTAAAACTCATTTACAGCGTGTCCATGATGATGATGAACCGTACTTAGAAGCATGCAACGCTCTTAAATTAAAATTTTCTAGCTTTTCACCGCAAAAATGGGCACCTAAAAAAAAAACCAATGCAAAAAAAAAAACAATTTTTTTTATCAATTAAGAAATGCAAATATAATAATATTTGCAAGGCAACAAAACCATAGCCTGAACCGTTAACCGAAATAAAGCGTTTAAAAACCCGAATCCGGTACCGGAACCAAAACTACACCCAGAGAAAAATCATGATAAATACAAATATTTTCACTTTGAATTAAATATTTTCAGTAATGATTTAGCCCTGAGGGGTGTTAAAGTGTCAATGTGTGTTATGCATTTATTTTTATTTTTAAATATGGAAATGTAAGGTTTTAAATTTAAAAAAATTAAAATCTGAAATTTTTCTATTGAATTGACCAATTAAATATATTAATAATTACATTATCAGGTTTAATGTTTATTTTAAGTAAGTTTATATTTTGAAAAACAATCTAACATTCAAATGTTTTAATGTTTAAGTATATTATAGGGTTTTTCTCTGGGTGTAAGTTTTATTTTGTTGTTGGTAGAAGTACTTATATTTCGTGAACTTTAGGGAAAAGAATGTATATTAACCAATAAAGGAAATATTTTTTAAATCAAAAAGCAATTATTTTTTAATATTTGCTTATCGTTTGCTGTTTTTGAATTATAAAACATGTTTTTTTATTATGGAAAAATTGTAAAATCTGTGGCAAGAACGATTAAATACTAAATTATACAATTATTAGCCAATTATACTAATTGCAATGGTATTTGCGTTCATAAGGAAGGGCCAAAACCAACTTTTTCCTGAAAATGGTTGGGAATAGGACGTCCAATTCAGTACAGCCATTTGCTTTCGCGAGCTATCCAAGAATATTAACAGTTTGGCCAATTTACTTTTACCACATGACTATATCAGATAGTAAAACTCATTTACAGCGTATCCATGATGATGATAAAATGTACTTAGAAGCTTTCCCGATTTGAATTGCTGTATTCAACCGCTTAATAATTTCCAGAAACCGAACAGAATTAATGCAAAATAATTTGATAGTATGCTTCTTATCTAAACAAAAATTAACTTTGAGATTAATAACAAATTGTTTATTTTGTATTGAACCAGCTTTAGTTTTTATAAACAATATTTTCAAATTAAAATTTAAATGGAACGAAATTGGTTTATTTCCCTCTCTTCATTAAAATATAATCAGATACGTTTGGTTTTCTGCCCAAAATAATATATGTTACCTATTTGAATATTTTCCAAACAGTATTTGACAAAAAACATCATGAAATTCTATCTTTTATGTATTCTATCTTTATTGAATACAATTTTAAAAATGAGTGCTCTGTTGTCAAATGAAGTAAATAAAGTTGGTGAATCCAAATAAAAGACCCGCCCGGGATCAGATTACAAGTTTTATTTTTTTTCAGAACAACTTTGAAATGGTTTACGCCCATTCGCTCCTGATGAACTCGTCGACGGAATGTTTTCCCAGCTGCCATTAACCTTGGCCACTAATTACCGACGCAGAAAGCTGAATTTATGGCATCGGCTTTATGGAGCCCCTGACTCGAACTCGAATGCATTAATTGTGCTTCTCATTAAGGGGAGTTTCTTATGCGCAAAACATTTAATATATTTCGCGTATACGAATAAAAATTTAATTTATTTTGAAATGGTGCGTTCACTTCCCCGATATTTGGCCTGCGGACATTAATAGCTTCTGAGCGGGCCATGAATAATGGGCATTTTATAAATGTGGTCGGGACAATGGCCAGGATGCTTGGATAAAAAATAATAACAATAATTGTAACGTTATTATAATGCAGTTGTAATTAAGTACACCGTTGTTGTATATGCCGCCATCCAATGACTATAAAAAACGAAATGATTTTAATAAAATCAACAGTCGAAAGGTCGGGAAGGACCAGAGCAACAGTTTGGTCAGCGGACTCAGCGACCTCTTGGATGGAAATTTACGAGCATTTCACATTCCATAATTTACTCATTTTTCATGCGCTTATTTAATTACGCTAAATAATGGCCGCAAGAGGTTGAGCAGTTATTTGCTCATTTATGCTCAATGGTAGTTAAACAAAATGCATTCAATAATTTGGACAAGATTATTCTTATCATAATGGAGCGATCGAAATCCAAAATATTATATGCTTATGCAATTCCGTTTAGAAATGAGATTATAAATTAAAATTAACCGTTTTACTTCATATCAACAGTTTAATTAACAATTAATTTCACGTTCTCGTTTTTATTCAACTTAGCTTTATAAAAAATAACCATATGTGATACCTATTTGAACGTGTTAAAATTTTTTTGGTTCCTGATAAAAAAATGGATAAATAATAATAAATATCTGACTATTGAATTTAAAATTGTATACTAAATATTAAAATTAAATTTGAAATCATAATATTAAATGCAATGCATTTTAAACTACATTAGTTAATACAATACTAAAAATATTTAATGTGGAAAATATTAGATTAAGATCCGTCAGATAAATAATTATTTTGTTTAGTTTAAGGTTTTAAGCTTTGGATAAATCGACAAGATATGTATTTAGGAATACTATTGAATCACATTTCGGTTTTGGTGCTTTGGTTTCGAATCTAAAACCGGTTCGTAAATAAAATTTGAAATAATATAATTTCCAATGCATAGCATAGTCGGTTTTTGTGATTTATGTGATTTAATGAACATGTATGTAAGTGCTTTATTAAAGTTATTTTAAGAATTTTACAATCTATCTTATAATACATTTTCGATATTGAATCGAATCAGGTGCGGTTCTAGTTTTCTTCCCTAGATTCAAGCCATTACTTGCTGTGTCAAGGCGTTAGGAAAAAAGACACTGTTTGCGTTAACCACACCAGGCTCTTTCACTTGGCCCACTCGGGTCCACCCCAAACTAATGCAATTGGTTCGCTTGTTGGCAGGCAGATAACAAAACTCATTTATAGCCTGTCCACTGCAATGACACAGAATCGTGAAATCGGCGGAAAGTGGAGCCACTCGACACCCAGCTCTTTGTGGCTCTTAACGTCAAGACACTTTGTATCAACTGCAGCAGGACCGTCAGCGTCAGCGTCCGCTTCAGCACCGTGCCATGCAATACATTTTCTAATGCTTGTTTTGAATCATATTTAGGGGAGGGCGGTCAGGTCGCCAGCTGGCAAATAAAATAAATTAGTTGCAGTTGAAAGGTGGCTCAGACACAAAAGTCAACACGCAACGCGCGATGGAACCGCAAACAAACGCCAGCTGCTGGGCGCAGATAAAGTGGCAGGCAAACACGCCGAAGGAGCAGGACGAAGGACGAAGGAGGTGGGAGGTGGGATGGAGCTCCAGACGCGATGGAAGGACCTATGGCAAATCAGCTGCCAACGCAGCGCAGCTTACTGGCAAATATTAAAATGCGAATTTTTATGCTCGCTGACATCGAGCCTCCCGCCTCCCACTTTGCCATCCCAACTTCCACCCCTCAAAGCATAATTCTCACTATGCGAAATGTGGGTAAATGTTCGCTGTTCGCTGCACGGAAAAAATATAGACCTAAATCGAAATATTTACCTTCCTTTGAAATTAGATTTTATAACAAAAATATATCGTTTTCAAAAATTTTTAGAAAATTTTAGTAAAACTATATATTTATTATAAATATTAAATTTAAAAAAAGGAAATATATTACAGGCTCTAGACGTAAAATGATATTTATTAAGTTTTACAATCTCTAAGTAAATAACTGAAATAAAACGCATTTAAACATAAATTAAAATATGTTTATTTCTAAGTGCAAATCATGTGTTACTTCTATTTATTGAAATATAATAAATATATACACATCCCAACTTAACTCTATTTTTCTTTAGAAATCTATAAGAAATATCTTTAAACAAATTCTAGAAAAATGATAATTTAAATGTAAAATATTTCATTCATCCAAACTTTACGGTTCTTAAAGACAAACAAAATACTTTAACCTTAGGCTTGGTATTCAGTCTACCAAAATTGCTCTAAAAAGAAAAAACTTATGTTGGGCTGTTTTTTTTTAAATTAAGTTTTTTGTTTTGGCAACAATTTTGGTAGCCCGAATACCAAGCCTTAAATTTGATTTGTTTTGAAAAAAAAAATATTTTAATGGCGTATTCAGGTCATCGAATCGAACTTCAATAAACATTAAAATTATTTGCCGTGTCTCTTGGCTGTTCGCCGTTGGCTCCTGTCTTCTGGCTCCTGGCGTATCCTTTCGCCGGCATTTTCTTGCCGCGTGCGCACATAAATTAGCTGCCAGGCTAAGAAATGGCGGCGGGCAGCAAAGGTTGTCCCAACGCCCCCGCTGCGGTTTGTTGCGCTCTGTTTATGCGGGTGCTGCTGGTGGGTGCATTAAACCAATAAATCAGCGAGCCACTGCAAAAAAAAACCACTACGAAAAGAGGCAAGCAAACTGTTGTCAGGCACTCTTTGAGCCACGCTGGTGGTGCCGCTGCGCATATTTAATCAATATGGTGGCACAAAACATGAATTAATCTTGGTGCCCTTTAAAGCGCTCCCCACTTTCACGAACCGCACACAAACGGACACGGGAAAAAGGCATTTTTAATTTAGAGAAATTCTTGCGGCCATAAAAAGCTTGTCGGGCAAATCAATTAAATTTAAATTGTATCCCATTAGAGCCACATTAAATGAGTTAAGTCATTTGGGGGACCGCGTGCCGCGTCTTAGCCTTCTTTTATACGGCTTTGAAAAGGGTACAAATGAATTCATTTTATTTTTTGACGCACATAACCGCCCCTTGTCCCAAATCCCCCGGAACCCCGTTTCCCCGGATCTCAACCCGCTGCTGGACGCAATTAAAATGCCCACGAGCTACTAATTTGCCATGAAACGGCGGGTGGCTCGCCAAAAGGCCTGCAGGCACGGCCCGATTTTAAAATGCTGCCGAAATTTAAGAGTTGATGGCTATTAATTTAT